GGAGCCAGCCTGATCTACAGAGTGAATTCCAGGACAGCCAGGGCTACACAGAGATACTTTGTCTCAAAAAAAAAAATTGTGTCTAAAGCATGTGATATCTTCAGCAATAGCCTATATTGTTTCAGGAGTCACTTGAATTCCCCTAACAACTTGTTCTTGAGTGTTTTGTTAGATAGTCTATAACTCTTTTAGGGAGCATTCTTATCCTAAGTGGCATGACTTCAATTAAAATATATCAAACAAACACTGTTTCTTGAGGCTTTATCCAGCATCCTTTGTGTTATTTGACCTCCTCTTTCCTCCTGTATTGATGTCCCTTCCCGTCTCCAATTAAAGTCCCCCCACCCCGTTTTTCCCATTTCCCGTTCATGTCATCTGCATCCTGCTATTTCTCTAGTGCCCCTGTGCTTATATGTGTATCTGAATATTTGAAGCTGAGAGAGATCATGTAGCATATGTGTTTATGAGTCTGGGTTACCTCACTCAATTCAATATTTTTTCCAATTATATTCATTTAACTCCAAATTTCATAATTTCATTTTCAAGCTTAATCTACACTGAACAGTAGTTCATATAGCTTTCATACTATCAGAAGATCTATACAAGCTGCCAAGGGAGGGAAGCAATCAATGGTTCTAACCAACTGTGACACCTATAAATCATAAAAGGCCAGCATGGCAAGATATCCCTAAAGGTACAATGTAGCAAGAATTCTGGTTTCTTTTAAAAAAAAATACAGATATAGGAATATTCTTTTAATCCCAGGTGTGAGATGTGGGGCTGCTGTGGACTATCTGCAGCAGCTGCCTATAATTTGTCTCATGCTCTAGCAGGGGCGTGATTTTGCCAGCTGCAGATAGTTTTTGTAATTGTGTGACATTTGGCATTCTGGAGACTTTTCAGAGGGTATATAAATTCTAAGGCCTCGAGAGGCAGAGTTTGTTTGTTTGGTGGTAGCTGCAGTTTGTTAAATAGTTGTGCACAAAGAAGAAACAAGAAGAAAGAAGTTAGATATCTTGATGATGAAGATCAAACTTGCCCCAAGGAACTTGATGCCCCTAATCAGCAGGAAGTAGTTTAACAATAATGTTGTCCCCTTTCTAACCCTGACTTTATTCAGGGATTTCTTTCCTCTCGCTCTTTACCCTTTTTTCCTCTCCTATCTAGTGTTAGAGGGTTGAAAGAGTGGAAGAAAGAACCTACAAAGTAGCAAAAGACTGGCTACAGTGCAATAGTGGCACTCATATCTTGGGGTTAAACAAGAGCTGTTTAATTTGACTTAAGGCCTGCTTAACGGGAGAAATCATGTCTGGTACTAGAAATCTTGACAACTACTCAGGCTAGAGAGGTCATGGATCTCAAAGGAGAACCAACCATCACAGCAATATTAGACCAGCATAATTCCTAACTGTGTTCTAAAACTTATACCCACAGATAAGTGTAGCTCTCAACACATATCAAAGAAGCTTCTTTTTGCAGCAGAGACCATTAAAACTGGTTATAATGAAGAAATTAACTGATTGTAGTGAGCCTAGTCTCAACAAAACTCTTGCACCTAAGGCTAAGAGAACTGTGTGTGGAATAGGAGACAGAAAGATTGTAAGAATAGAGGACCAAGACATCTGCCATGTGTCTCTTAGAAATGGCAAGGAAGGGGCTGGAGAGATGGGTCAGCGGTTAAGAGCACTGACTGCTCTTCCAGAGGTCCTGAGTTCAATTCCCAGCAACCACATGGTGGGCAACCACATGGTGGCTCACAACCATCTGTAATGGGATCCAATGGCCTCTTCAGGTGTGTCTGAAGACAGCCACAGTGCACGCACATAAATAAAATAAATAAATCTTAAAAAAAAGAGAGAGAGAGAAATGGCCGGGCAGTGGTGGTGCACACCTTTAATCCCAGCACTTGGGAGGCAGAGACAGGCAGATTTCTGAGTTTGAGGCCAGCCTGGTCTACAGAGTGAGTTCCAGGACAGCCAGGGCTATACAGAGAAACCCTGTCTAGAAAAAACAAAAAACAAAAAAACAAGAAAGAAAGAAAGAAAGAAAGAAAAAGAAATGGCAAGGAAGTTACACCCATGATACCTCAACAATATGGCTACCTAAAACAATACTTGAACAATGATGATACCAATAGACATAGTAAGAAGGGGAAAGTCTCCCAAGGTCCTAACTCTAGCAAAGAACTATAGGCATCGAATGACTGCTGAGAAAGAATTAGTCTCTCAGGGCTGGAGAGATGGTTCAGCAGTTAAGAGCACTGACTGCTCTTCCAAAGGTGCTGAGTTCAATTCTTTTTTTGTTTTTGGTTTTTTTTTGTTGTTGTTTTTCGAGACAGGGTTTCTCTGTGTAGCCCTGGCTGTCCTGGAACTCACTCTGTAGACCAGACTAGTCTTGAACTCTCGAACTCAGAAATCCGCCTGCCTCTGCCTCCCAAGTGCTGGGATTAAAGGCGTGCACCACCACCGCCCGGCTACTGAGTTCAATTCTTAACAACCACATGATGGCTCACAACCATCTGTAATGGATCTGATGCCCTCTTCTGGTGTGTCTGGAGACAGCTACAGTGTATTCATATATATGTATATATAAAATAATTTTTTTAAGTGAAGTTTTGAAGCTAGGTGTGATGGTGCATGCCTTTAATCTCAGCCTTCAGGAGATAGAGGCAGGCAGATTTCTATGAATTTTAAGACCAGCTTGGTCTACATAGAGTTCCAGGCCACCCAAGCTCAGGTCTCACACAATGAGACCCTTTCTCATAATGGGAGAACAAGGAGGGCAAGATCAGTTGATAGTGCTGTAAAAAGAGATTCTTCCAGGAGCTGGAGAGATGCTCAGAGGCGAAGAGCACTTGTTCCTCTTGCAGATGACCTGGGTTTGGTTCCCCACAACATGGTATCTCACAGTTGCCTGTAACTCTAGTTACAATGCCCTCTTCTGGCCTCCATGTATACCTGTACTCTTGTATGTACATATACACACACACATACACACACACACACACACACACACACACACACGGGGGGGGGGGAGATTTAAAAATTAATGTTGAAAAAAGGGCTGGGGGTCTGGCTTAGTGCTTAAGAGCAGTTGTTTCTCTTGCAGAGGACCCTAGTTCAATTCCTAACAGCCATGCATTGCCTCACACCCAAGGAAATAAGACTAAGGCCTGGGAAAAGAATCTGCCCCTGTGATAACTCTGCTTAGCCTTGAAACAAGACTAGTAGGTGGCTTCTCTTTTGGATGGCAGCAGGTAGGGTCAGAAGGGTCATGCCTCAGTAATGAGGAAAACCTACTTTGATATACAGCTACTCTGCCCCATGCAGCATTCCCTCAAAGTAACATATACTCTCCAAAGGCTCATATACTCTCCAAGGGATACAAAGAAGCAGGAAAACTCAACTCAGATGGAAGGAAATAAATTATTAGTCATTCATAGTAGAAAGGAAGAGGTACAACAGCCTTTATTCTGAGAAACATAAAAGAAAAATCTGATGGCATCTACAAATAAACCACTGGACTGAGGGTAGCCAAATTGTAGGACATGTTTTATGGGGAGCTGATGTCTAACCTTAAATGCCAGTTGTCAGACACTTCTTACAAGGTGGAGAAGCTATCTAAGCTCTGTTTTTGGGTTATTTGTTCTTACATAAACAAAGTTGTTTTTTTGGGAGGGCGTGTACTGGCATTTGGTTTAGGAGGGGGAATATTAGCAGTGCTAAGAATTTGAGAAACCAGTATCTGGTGGGTAGACTTACTTTTAGGAGTTCATTTACTGGGGTATGTCAAAAACATTCAAAGAAATCTTACTAATAGCTTATAAACTAATCAAGAATAATCATTTGTTCTCTGCCTCCCAAGTGCTGGGATTAAAGGAGTGCACCACCACCCAGCTATTCAAGCATTTCTATACAAGAATCATATCCAAATTATTTCTCAGGAAACAAGGCAGGAGAATCAGTGGTTCAAGGTCATTCCAGCTATTTAATCTGTCCTATTTAAGCTGGGATATATGAGATTCTCAAACAAAGAAAAAATTGGAAGAATGAAATGATTTTTGAACTGATTTTTTGAGACAGGGTTTCTCTGTGTAGCCTTGGCTATCCTGGAACTCACTCTGTAGACCAGTCTGGCCTTAAACTCAGAGATCACCTACCTCTGCCTCACAAGTGCTGGGATTAAAGCTATGTGTTATCACCTGACACATCTGAAGTGATTTTTAGGCCTGGAGAGATGGGTCAGTGGATAAGAGCACTGACTGCTCTTCCAGAGGTCCTGAGTTCAATTCGCAGCAACCACATGGTAGTTCACAACCATCTGTAATGGGATCTGATGCTCTCTTCTGGTGTGTCTGAAGATAGTTACAATGTACTCATATAAATGAAATAAACCTTTAAAAAATACTTAATTTTTAAGTATTCAACATTTTTATTAAATTGCATCACATATGTACCTATTTTAGTGTTTAAAAAATATTTTTTATGCACAAGCTGAGGTTGATGATGAATGCCTGAAGTCTCAGCACTCTGGAGGTAGAGATGAGGATAAGAAACTGGAGAGTTTGAAGCTAGCCTAGGCTATGAGATCCTTTCTCAAAAAAATAAAAACAAGTTGGCTAGAAAGACCAAAAATGCACTTTAGGTGAAAAAATACTTAAAAAGAATTATAATGCTAAACTTAAAAATTATATTTATTTGGTGTGTGTATGTATGCACAAGTGCAAGCACTCTCCAAGGTCAGGGGACAACTTGTAGGAGTTCGTTTTCTCCTATCACTTTGTAGGATTCAAACCATGATAGTGCATGTAGTTTTAATTTTCCTCTATTTCTGAAATTATCCTCATTAACTTTCTTCTAATATATTTTTTCCAGTGCTGGGAATTGAACCAAAGACCTCATACATATTAAATGAATACTCTTACCTTGTACTAACAAACACCTGAATTCCAGAGCCCCTCCTCCAACACAAAATAAAAAAGAAAATTTAGAGGCTGAAAATAAACTCAAATGCAGATTAGCAGCATAGCTTTATTTTCTTCAGCAACAAACATTGAAGCACCAAACCAAATGGCCCCTAAGTGCCTGAGACCAAATCAGGATAAAAAAATTAAGCCCCCACATTTATGTAGCAGCTACTATTCTGGAATCTTTTCCCTAGGGAAAATTGTACTGCTTAGGAGGAGACGGAGATACGGTCAGACCTGGGTCCCCAACCAGGCTTAACAGGAAACCGGAGGCCCAAAGAGATGTATAGTGTTCACCACTAAGGAAAGCTGATCAAGAAAGTTCATGATGGAAATTCGGAGGAGGCGAGAATCTTCCGCGATCCAGTGTCTAAGAGTGAGGAAAAGAACATTAAATTCAAATTGGTAGTTTTTACCCTTATTTCTTTCCTTTTATTTTTTGGAAAGAGATAGACAATCTCACTATGTAGCCATGGTTGGTGTAGGGGTTGCTATGTAGATCTGGCTGGCCTGTAACTCACAGTAATCAGACCATCTGCCTTTCTCCTGGCTCCTACCCTTTCTTCATCTCCCCTCGGGCATCCATTGTACCATATCCTGCAGGTAGAGACTGGTCCAGTGAACCATGCCTCTCCTTAAAAATCACCTTAGTGTGATGTCCCTGAGGAAGTGCAGCCTTGGGTGGAGAATGAATGGCCCAAATACCTACCCAGCATGCTAGACTCTTTCAACACTTACACCTCCAGCATGCTGCCGCTCACTTTAAGCTCCTTCCCTACCAGTTCTTGGTGTGGTTCGACATCATGATTTAGGGACCCACAGGCGATTTCTGCCTCCAAAGAGGTCGGGAAAGGCACGAGGAGGGCGCTGGTAGAGACTCAGGAAAGGCACCATCTTGAATCGACTTTGCCTCCTTTGCCCTCTAAAATCATCGCATCTGGTCTAAGCTCCCCCAGGCTACAGCTTCCACAAAGCTTGGGCCATTCCTGCTCATTTACCTCCACCCTTCTGTCCTTCTGTTCTCAAGGAACTTCTCATGCCCAAACCATCCGTGGTTAACATACCCCTATCAGCGGGGTCCCTCTGCTTCCGTCCTCCCTGCTCCTTTCTTTTTTTTTACCCTCCTCTAGACTACCCGCTTCCCTGCTTCAAGCATCCCGCAGAAGGCCCAGCTGTCCATGTCCGGTAGGATACAATCTATGATGTCGGAATCCAGGCCTTTGGGTTAAAGGCATGGTGCTTTTGCTGGAATTTCGGGAGGCTTCTATTGCTCTTGCAACAGGGTGAGCTCCACTGGGAATAACTGCCATTATGTCTGCATTACCAAGACAGCAGCGGCCAGTCGGACCATTGGCGCCGTCTGCAGTGTGGCTTAACCCTGTGTGTGCTGTCTGCATGTCTGCTGCGGCCTCTCCTAACAATCCACCCTCGTGATACCAGCCTACCCCCTCCACCACTGCGGCGGCCCAGAACCCGCCTTATCCTCCGGAAGCTCTGCCTCTCGTAAGGCTGCCATTTCACTTGCGCCTGCGCGAACTGAGAGGGCGCGGGTTTGTGTGTGGGGGATGGTGGCGGGGTGGGGGTGGGTGGCGGGGGTGAGTGGCGGGGAGCTGCAGGGAGGGTGGGGGGTGGCGGGGTCGGGAGCAGGAAGACTCTTCTGCCTCCAAAGTGTGGCACCACGCCAAGCTGTCCCTTCAGTTTCCTAAAAGGGACCTCAGGTGATATTTTCCCCAAAACAAAACAACAACAAAAGACTATCAAGTGGCCTGGTGCGGTGATGCCTGCCTGAAATCCTAGCATTTAGGACCGAGGCTCTTTTTTTTTTTAAGATTTATTTATTTATTATATATGAATACACTGTAGCTGTCTTCAGACACACCAGAAGAGGGCATCAGATACCATTACAGATGGTTGTGAGCCACCATGTGGTTGCTGGGATTTGAACTCAGGACCTCTGGAAGTGCAGTCAGTGCTCTTAACCACTGAGCCATCTCTTCAGCCCAGACTGAGGCTCTTAATCTGTGGGTTGACCCAGGTTAGGGATCGAATATCAGATATCCTGCATATCAGATATTTACATTACAACTCATAACAGTAGCAAAATTACACTTATGAAGTAGCAATGAAAATAATTTTATGGTTGGGCGTCACCACAACATGAGGAACATATTAAAAGGTTGCAGCATTAGGAAGGTTGAGAACCACTGATTTAGGAGGTGGGAATAGTTCTTTGCTTAAGTTGAAGGTCAGCCTGATCTACATAACCACTTCCAGGCCATCTAGACTTACATATTTATGTCATCTTAAAACCAGTCACAAAACCAGAAAACCCCATCAACAAACAAATGAAGTGAAATGAGATTTTGAGTATCAGCAAGAGGTTTCCCTTTAAAATAGGTCATACACCTACCCTTTTGTCTCCTTTAAGTCAGTCCCCAGCAAGATAATCTGTGCCTGAACATGCTTTTTTTTTTTTAATTGCTTTTTTTAAAAAATTACTTTATTTTTCCAGACAAGTTCTCTTAGCCATGGGTACATGCCTTTAATCCCAGCACTTTGGCAGCAGAGCAGGTGAATCTCTGTGAAGTTGAAGTCAACCTGGTCTTCATAGTGAGTGCTAGAACAGCTATATAGTGAGACCCTGTTGAGGGAGGTGGTGGAAGGATAGGGAGAGGAAGGAGAGAGAGGAGAGAGACCGACTCTATGTAGCCCTGGCTGTCCTGGAACTTTTTCTGTAGACCAGGCTGTCCTCAAACTCAGAGATCTTCCTGTCTCTGCCTTCTGAGTGCCACGATTAAAGGCACAAAGCACAACCCTCACCCCAGCTAAAATGTATTTATTTTTATTGCATGTGTTTGAGTCTTTTCCCTGCTTGTATATAAGTTCACCTACTGTGTGCAGTGCCTGGTATCTAGGTGAATCCTGGAAATAGAGTTATTGATGGTTATAAACTGTCATGTGGGTGCTGGGAACTGAATTCAAGACCTTTTCAAGAGCAGCAAGTTTTAATTACTGAACCATCTCTCCAGCTTCTCTCCTTGAACACCTTCAAGCCCTGAGATTGATTTTCTTTTACAACTGTCTATAGCTTATCCTCCACAAAATCATTTCTAATTTTGTTTTTAAACTATCTCTTACAGCCAGGCAGTGGTAGTGAACGCCTTTAATCCCAGCACTTGGGAGGCAGAGGCAGGTGGATTTCTGAGTTCGAGGCCACCATGGTCTACAGAGTGAGTTCCAGGACAGCCAGGGCTACACAGAGAAACCCTGTCTTGAAAAACAAACAAACAAAAAATCCCTTACATATAAAATATCCTTGACAATCTCATACATGTACTTTGGTCCTACCTATTCTCCAACTCACTCTTTTCATTCTGTCAAATTTCTAATATAGATCATATACATGCTTAAAATTCTATAAATTGGAGCTGGAGAGATGGTTCAGCTTTTAAGAGTACTGGCTGCTCTTCCAGAGGATCTGGGTTCCATTCTCATCACCCACCTACAGCTTACAAGAAATGGTTCAAGGGGTATCTGATCCCCTCTTCTGGCTTCCATGGGTACCAGGAACATGTCTGATGCACAGAGATACATACAGGACAAACACTCATACATATAAAAATAGAATAATTAAACATTTTTAAAACTCTAAAAATAAGAAAGGTTGCAGTGGGTTGGACAACACTAATTTGGTACAGTGTGACATTTCAAGGTCCTGGTTTCATTACCAACCAACCAACCATCTTTAAAATGTTTTCTAGTTGCACATGGCATATAATCCAAAGTCTCTGCAGTAGTTTATAAGATCCTTGTATAATGTGGCTCAAGTTCTCTCTCTTTGGCTCTGTGCATCCTGTCTGGGTGCATATTCTGTACAGTTACTGGGGCCTGCTCTCTGTTTCTGTGTAAGGGTGGCCTACCTTCAGCATTTTGTACTTGTCTCTTCTATTAGTAAGAATATTCCTGAACTTTCTTATGGCTTGCTTACCAACATTAGGATTTAATTTCCAATGTTACCTTCCAAAAACTAATCAGAAATGCTGGAGCTAACAGATGTTATAAACCAAATGTACCTAACAGATATCTATAGAACATTTCACCCAAACACTAAAAAATATACCTTCTTCTCAGCACCTCACAGAACCTTCTCCAAAATTGACCATATTCTCAGTCACAAAGCACACCTCAACAGATCAAAGACAACTAAAATAACCCCTTGAATTTTATCAGATCACCATGGATTAAAACTGGACTTCAACAACAACAGAAACAACAGAAAGCCTACAAACTCATGAAAACTGAACAACTCTCTACTCAATGACTCTGGGTCAGGAAAGAAATAAAGACAGAAATTAAAGACTTTCTAGAATTCAATGAAAATGAAGGCACAGCCGGGCGGTGGTGGCGCACGCCTTTAATCCCAGCACTTGGGAGGCAGAGGCAGGCGGATTTCTGAGTTCCAGAGTTCGAGACTAGCCTGGTCTACAGAGTGAGTTCCAGGACAGCCAGGACTACTCAGAGAAACCCTGTCTCGAAAAACCAAAAAAAAAAAAAAAAAAAAGAAAATGAAGGCACAGCTGGGCGTTGGTGGCACACGCCTTTAATCCCAGCACTTGGGAGGCAGAGGCAGGTGGATTTCTGAGTTCGAGACCAGCCTGGTCTACAGAGTGAGTTCCAGGACATCCAGGACTACACAGAGAAACCCTGTCTCGAAAAACCAAAAAGAAAAAGCAAAACAAACAAACAAACAAAAAAAGAGTAAGAAAATGAAGGCACAACGTACACAAACGTATTGGTCACTATGAAAGCAGTGCTAAGAAGAAATTTCATAGCACTAAATGCTTTAATAATGAAATTAGAGAGTTCTCATACTAGCAATTTAATAGTACACCTAAAAGCTCTAGAACAAAAAGAAGCAAGCACACTCAAAAGGAGTTGGTGGCAAGAAATAATCAAATTGAGGGGTGAAAAAGAAAAGAAACAGAGAACAACAAAGAATCAATGAAACAAAGAGTTGGTTCTTTGAGAAAATCAACAAGATAGACAAACCCTTAACCAAACTAAAAGACACAGAGAGACAGTATCCAAATTAACAAAATCAGAAACAAAAGAGGGAGGTAACAACAGACACCTAGGTAATCCAAAGAAACATGAGAATATACTTTAAAAACCTGTACTTAACCAAATTGAAAAATCTAAAAGCAATGGATAATTTCTTCAATAGGTACCACTTACCCAAGTTATACCAAGATCAGATAAGCAATTTATTTATTTATTTATTTATTTATTTATTTATTTATTTAAAAGATTTATTTATTTATTTATTTATTTATTTATTTGATGTATGAGTACAGTGTAGCTGCCTTTAGACACACTAAAAGAGGGCATCAGATCTCATTACAGATGGTTGTGAGCCACCATGTGGTTGCTGGGAATTGAACTCAGGACCTCTGGAAGAGCAGTCAGTGCTCTTGACTGCTGAGCCATCTCTCCAGCCCCCAGATAAGCAATTTAAACATACCTATAATCCTTAGTGAAATAAAAGTCTCCCAACCAAAAAAGTAAAACAAGCCAGGGGTCAAATGGTTTTAGCACTGAATTCTACCAGACTTTCAAAGGCAAGCTAATACCAATATTCAAATTATGACCCAAAATAGAAAGAGAAGAAACAATGCCAAATTCATTTTATGAGGCCACAATCACTCTGATACCCAAACCACACAAAAACTCCATAAAAGGAAAATTACAGACCATTTCCCTCATAAACATTGATGCCAAAACAATAAAAATATTCACAAACCAAATCGAAGAACACATCAAAAACATCATCCACCATGACCAAGTAGGCTTCATCCCAGAGGTGTAGGCATGATTCAATATATTAAAATCTATCAGTGTAATCCACCATATAAACAAACTGAAAGAAAAAAAAATCGCATGATCATCTCATTAGATGCTGAATAAACCTTTGACAAAATCCAACACCTCTTCATGTTAAAAGCCTTAGAGAGATCAGGGATACAAGGTATATACCTAAACATAATAAAGGCAATATACAGCAAAACCTTAATAGCCAACTTCAAATTAAATAGGCAGAAACTCAAAGCAATTCTATTAAAATCAGGGACAATACAAGGCTTCCCACTCTTTCCCTATTATTCAACACAGTACTTGAAGTTCTAGTTAGAGCAGTAAGACAACTAAAGGAGATCAAGGGGATACAAACTGGAAAGGAAGAAGTCGAAGTACTGCTGTCTGCAGATGATAGTAAACATAAGTGACCCCAAAAATTCTACCAGAGAACTCTTATAGCTGATAAACACTTTCAGCAAAGCAGCTAGATAAAAAATTAACAAAAAATCAGTAGCCCAACTATATATAAACTTAAACTGAGAAGGAAATCAGGAAAACAACACCTTTCACAATGGCCACAAACAATATAGAATATATTGGGGGTAACTCTATCCAAGCAAGTGAAAAGCCTATAT